AGGTGAGCTCACAAGAGAAGACATATTTTTGATTGGTGGTAATGACAGTTCCTGCTGTACGTATAAACCTGGACATTGTGCTGTATGGACTCCAGTTGTCATTTTCTATCAATTGGCTGTTTGTGTATTTTGGTATCCGATGGTGTCGATCGTTGCAGGTGACATGTGTTTCGCCCTGTCACCTGTTTTCGTGAGTACTTTATCCCGTGGTACATTTTCACAGGTTTCGCTGCCTGGGATGTGACAGTGAGGCTTGTGTAAGATAAGGCTAGGTTATCCAACCCTTTTCATTATACCTAAGACCCTTTCTCTTTTAAGACAGCTAAGGAGCAAGGTGAGTCATTCTCTTGCTGCATGGCTACCTGGCTGGCTAGGTGACTCACACACTAGTTGCCTTGTTGACAAGACTGGCTAGGCACTGACTAGACTGATAACTCATTCAGTGACAAACTGAGGTGAAGACTCACAGTAGCTTCCTGGCTAAGTGATTAACTGGTCTTCACTGGTTAGATGAATGACTCACTCACTGACTGACAGGCTCGGTGTCTCCAACACTGGCTGGCTAGTTGGCTGGTTGGTTGGCTGGCTGGCTAGGTGACTCACACTGACTGGCCAACTGACTCCAACAGTGGTGGTCGGGCAAGGTGACTCACGTACTGACAGTGTTTACCTAAGTAGGTGACTCATACACTGGCAAGCTGAGTAGGTGACTCCATATTGGCTGGGTGACACAGTGGGTAGGTGACCTACACCTTGGCAGGATAGGAAGGTGACCCACACCTTGGCAGGCTAGGTAGGTGACTCACATAGTGGCTGTACATGACACAGTGGGATGGTGACCCACACCTTGGCAGGCTGGGTAGCTGACTCACATAGTGGCTGGGTGACACAGTGGGTAGGTGACCCACACCTTGGCAGGCTAGGTAGGTGACTCACATATTGGCTGGACATGACACATTGGGTAGGTGACCCACACCTTGGCTGGCTAGGTAGGTGACTCACATATTGGCAGGCTAGATAAGTGACTCACATATTTGCTGGACATGACACAGTGGGTAGGTGAGCAACACCTTGGCTGGCTAGGTAGGTAACTACCATATTTGCTGGGTGACACAGTGGGTAGGTGACCCACACCTTGGCAGGCTAGGCAAGTGACTACCATATTTGCTGGACATGACACAGTGGGAAGGTGACCCACACCTTGGCAGGCTAGGCAAGTGACTAACATATTGGCTGGACATGACACAGTGGGTAGGTGGCCCACACCTTGGCTGGCTAGGTAGGTGACTCACATATTGGCTGGGTGACACAGTGGGTAGGTGACCCACACCTTGGCAGGCTAGACAAGTGACTAACATATTGGCTGGGTGACACAGTGGGTAGGTGACCCACACCTTGGCAGGCTAGGCAAGTGACTCACATATTGGCTGGACATGACACAGTGGGTAGGTGACCCACACTTTGGCTGGCTAGGTAGATGACTCTCTCATTGACTGGCTAGGTAAGTTACCCACACCTTGGCTGGCAACGTAGGTGACTCACATATTGGGTGGGTGACACAGTAGGTAGGTGTCTCACACACTGGCTAGCAGGGTAGGTGACCCACACCTTGGCTGTCTGGGTAGGTGACTCACTGGGTTGGTGGTTAATTCTGATGTCTAGTTTGAGTATAATAATGTACAATTGGGATGGAGAGTCCAAGCAAATTGTTGCAGGGTTGAAGGATATCTTTCCCTTTTTGAAACAAGTGATACAGTATAAATATTTATAGATTCAGCTATATTGTGCACAGAAACGGTGTTGATGTACTCATTAAGACATAGCAATCACATGACTGACATTCAATTCTATAGCCGCGTGCAACTTCTTAGTAACAAGTGCTGATGAAATTGACTGGTCTTCTTGTTCCTCAGAACTGAACCCGATCAAAAAACATTTTGGATGAGCTGGAAAGACAAGTGGGACAGCAGATGCGTCAACTCTTGGCCTTGCAAGAACTTGGGCAAGTGCTCGCTGACCAATGACTGTGTGTTCTGACGGAGACAATGTGGCCTCAGACCACAGTTACCCCCTTAACTTTTACCATGACCCGGAAGGAAAATATGAGAATATAGTGCCTTGTTTAAATGGGCTGTTCTGTTTGTGCTAATCTTTTCAGGGTTACTTGTGATAGCTTAAATGAAAGGTAAGACATTGTATTTTATTGCAAAATTTGTTTGGTCCACAATCTACACATGGTATTGACACCAGCCTTCCTTGGTTTGACCCCAAGTTCAAGGCTGTCTAGTGTTTCGGCTCGTAACTTCCGGTGACCATTGTTTACAGTGGATACAGCAAGATTGACATGGTCGATCCAGGCCCATATTTTGCCGGTTAGGTGACAAGTGGCAGGTTGGTCAGCATGCAACAGGAGAACAGCCTACGACTGATATTATTTATGGTGCACTGGCATGTCACTGTAGATAGCAAAGAAGGAAAATAATTGTGGTCTGAGGCCTGATATGGTGAAGGTAGTGCAAGTGTTTAATTTGCTATATGTCTGTTATTTTTCAAAATATTCACTTGAAACTTTGCATATTTACTGACAGGAACATGTGAAATATGTATACATGTGTTTTCAACTGAAAATATTTTTTTTAATTTTCTTTCTGAATTTATTTCAATTTTCTGATTGCATATTGTTTTAGTGAGTGAGCGGACGCATCATACTTAGTCAGATTGGTTCCATTATGGTGAATGTATGTATCACTACGCCGCACGTGCCTTTTAGATGCATGTGATACCTAAAATGGCTAATATTCAAGCCTTTTTCAAAAGATATAGAGCCAAGTTTGTGAAGAATTCAGTCCTCAGTGAGGAAAATGGCATATGGCATATGTGGAGTGGAGCATGCAAGCACAGTGGGTATGGGGTATTGCGGTATTTTTGCCCCATAGCCTACCAGTGGCGTGCTACTCATGCTCACCGGCTGGGGTTTCATAGTACACAGAGAAAACTTCGACATAGGTGATTACGACATCAGCCATTTGTGCCAAAACAGTAAATGCACCTATGTCGAACACCTGTCTGCTGAGCCACACAGCATAAATGCAGAAAGAGTGGCCTGTGTGAACAGGGGTGTGTGTAAAGGCCATGCACCTTTCCCAGATTGCCTTTAGGCATTAAAGTTATAGGAGAACAGAAAAACAAAGTCAAAGTATTTCAAAAATACTATATCACATAATATAGTAAAATTTTATTCATATTTCCTGATTTTCACCACAGTCACAGTTGGTTGTGACATAGCACTTAATCACAACACATAGCTTTAGAGACATTATGATGCATTTAAACTTAAAGTTACACAGTATCTGTCTTTAGCAAGTAATTAGTATATACAGTTCTGCAGCATCACTGCACATTTTCAATATTTTGAATAAGAAAGTTCATGTTTTTTGCTGAAACACGGTACAGGGTCTAACTGACCCTTTCTGTAGTCCCCACTCTGCTTGTCAGTCTGTTTAGACTTCAAATGTTCACAGATCTTGCTTCCATGGCAGCCTGCGTTACACTGCCCACATCCCTGACACTGCGTGGCTGAAACTGCCCACATCCTTGACACTGCCTGTTTGACTCTGCCCACATCCCTTACACAGCCTGCCTGACACTGCCAGTCCGACACTGCCCACATCCCTGACACTGCTTGCCTTACACTGCCCACATCCCCGACACATGCAGTTTGTCGAAGCAGAATCACCACCCACAAGTGATGTTAGTCATACATATGTTGACATATTGCAGCAGCAGCATATTCAGCTTCAGCAGCCTGTATGCAATCATTGCCGTTACCATGTCTCTTCAAGGTTCAGTTCTGAAATTAAACAGAAACAGTATGAAACAAAAAACCGTTTCCTGTGATAAAAGAAAACAAGAGTCTATTACTTTGTCTGTGGCTGGCACATCTATATCTAATATCCCACCGATTGTAAATACTATATGCCAATGAACAATGATCTCACCTTCTTGGTAGAACACTGAGCTGGCCTTTAAATAGTCTATACCAGCATTCTGAGATTTGCACAAGCGATTCTCATTTAATGTAGTATAACCTGTAGAAACAATGGTGTGCATCTGCACTAGGCAAATCTGTGATGTATTTATTGTAAATGTATGTAGCTCCTTAGAAACAAATTGAAATTGGTTCAAGGGCTATACTTTGTGCTCACTGCCATGTCTGTATGGCACCTATATGCAGAGATCTGATACATCATAAAAGCTGTTAAGAGTTAAATTACCATGGTTTGGGCAGCTTATTGCAACATGTACTTCTGTATTAATAAAGAACTTTCTATGACCATACACAGGCCTCTATTGTTTATTCTTGTTTCCCAAAAGGAGGGTTCACAGGTCAATTCCATGGTTCACAGATGATGCTTCAAACATGTCACCCCTAAAATATCTTTTTCGACCCTGTAAAATGTGCAATACTGATAAAGTCAAAACAAAATAGACTTCATATTTCAATTTAAATGATGGTGAACTGTTTGGAGTAATGTGGTGACAGCAACTAGTGATAGAAGAATCTGACACATCTCATGGAATTTGGTTGTGACACTAATTAGATTAAGTGTTAAAAGAGGCTGGACAGAGTCAGTTGACTGGAACTGCTATCGGTACCCCTGCACTGTTTACATCTAACTGACAGGTCCATATTTGGTATTTTAACTATGGGAGGGCAAGATCCAATGTTAATGCCTTCATTCCACTGAAAAATTCAGAGAGTTAGCATCCTGGACATACTCTGGAAACATGGCACCACACCGAAAGTGTTCGAAAAGTCATTTCAAAAAGGGAAATAAGCCTTGGAACTTTGGTGAAAAACAACCCAGGGATAAGCAAAGTAGATTTAAAGTGCCCCAGACTGTCAGGTTGACCCCTGAGCTACATAAGAAAGTGAACAGTGCAGGGGTGACTGGAGTCCAGCCAGTACAAACACTCACTAGTCTGCCTGTTGAGGCCGAGGGATGAGAAACACCCCTCAGGAGGATGATTGTTCACTGAAAACAAAAAATGACAGGTAAGATGACTATAATCTACTTATTCATGTCACCCAAGCTTTGAAATACTTGCAGGTAACAAAAAGTCCTCATTGTTAAATGATTTGGATGGCCAAACTTGCCTCATTAAAAGAATAATCTTTAAACAAGGTGACATAAGAAATTTTCAATTTTATTCACATTTTTCAGTGATTAAGTGAAGTAAGTGGCCAAACTCAGACTCATGAATGAGTGTTTTTCAAAACCAATAAAAAAACCCAGTGTTTTAATACCATAATGAAGGGCTAAGCTGGGACAGAAATAGAAAATACATTTCATCCATCAAGGGAGATAATTCACAAATGTCGAACACAACAACATATTGTAAATAATCATTCAGAAGTTTCCCAAGTAGTCAGTGGGGTTTATTTTAAATCTGCAGGGCTGCTGCTGATGTGTATCATCTATTCCACGTTGGGGAGACAGAGAAACTGTTCAATGAGGCATTTCGTGAGCATGCCACGACATCCACAAACTGTAAGGGGGACCTGGTTATGGATATAGAGCATGAACAGCAGTGGGGCCTCAACTGGACAGAGAGACTGAAATGTACCAACTGTGGCTACCTGTCTAAGCATCATAAGCTCTACAAAGAGGTAGAAGTAGCTGCGGCGAAGAAGGGACGTCGCTCCTCCACTGCTAACACTGGACTCCAGATAGGCCTGTCGAAATGTCCCATGGGGAGTGAGAGTTTCCGTGTCCTCTGCATGAGTGCAGATATTCCACCCCCCATCCAGTTCAGGCATGCAGAAAGCTGCAAACAGAGTTTGTGATAATATTAAACATCAAAATGTGAAGGATATGAGGGCCAGGAGGGTGGAAATGAGGGAAATAAATAAATAAATACAGGGGAACAAATTTGAATAATGTCAGCATGTCTACAGATGGCATGTACAACAACCCACTTTGTTCAGGTGTTGGGAAAATCCCTTTTCAGCCAGCCACTCAAGTTACCTATGTAGCCAATGAGAATGAGACTTGTGACCACCAAATATTAGCTCTACAAACAAAATCCAAACTTTGTTCAAAGCACAGTTTAGTTGACAACATTTCTTGTGTAAACACTCCAGACTGCACTGCTGATTTGCACATGTCAGAATGAATAGGGAATGAAAAACAGTTAGCTGCAGAGTGTTTCAGGGACTTAAAGAAAGACCAAATTGATGTAGAATTGTTGACAACAGATGCTGATAGTGCAGCTTACACAGCTCTCACTGAAATGTATGAAGCAGGGGAGATGGATGTTTGTCCGCAAACTTTTCTCGATACAAGGCACCTATCAGCCAGTCATAGAAAATGTATAAAAAATTCAAAATTTGTTGTGGACATGATGCCTGCTAGAACTAAACAAGATAAACAGAATTTGGCAAATACATTTTCTTTAGACTGTGCATCCAGATGTGCAGCTGAGTTTTCAGCTGCTTACTCAAGTCATGCAGGTGACTTGCCAAGGTTGAAGAAATCTCTGTCATATACCTCTGATGCTATGGCTTACTGTTACATGGGAGATCACACTAAATGCAGAAAGCAGTCACTTGTGTGCAAGGGGGCAAAGCAAAATTTGAGAAAATGCACTGACTTTCGTCTCGGCCCTAAAATAATAGACAAGACCCAATTCAACCTGAACAGTCGAAAGTGTGAAGCTACAAACAAGGCACTGCGCAGGTCATTACCTCGTGATACAACCTTTACTCGGAACTTCCAAGGCAGAGCTCACAGTGCTGTGCATAGTGTGAACTTTAAAAGTCCAGCAAAATCACTCTTGACGCTGAGACATGGGCTCGGGTGTGCTGTCACTGCAAAAAGTAAAATTGATAATGAAATCAACAAAAGCCACAATAAAGTACTTAAAGCTAAAACATATAAGAAATCAAAAACAAGTAAGGACCGCAGCGCTAAGAAAAAGTTGAATTATTCAAACTCCATCATTGTAGAAAAAATCAATATTCAAAAGACGTGTTATTGAAAAGAAATACTGCATATCTGAGACATCAACACCAAAGAGAGGATCATCCATACACAAAACTGGCCCCAAACAGAAAGACCTAACAACATAATGTATATGCTTACATTAAACAGTAGGGTTTATGACTCTTGGTGCACAAGCCCTGTTGTCCACAGTGAATTCTATCAATATTGTGTTCGTGGGTCTCGACAGTCAAATGGTCAGTGTTTACACAAGAAGTGTTGTGACAGAGATGGCTCACTTCAATTTTTTTGCCAGAGCTGTCAGTTTTAACCAAATCATCCTGTAAACATTTATTTGCTATGCATAGGGCTATTCTGTGGGCTTTTTGTTTGGTCGGCTGCCCAACCACTCCCTGCAACCAAATTTACCACTTGGGTCACTCATTTACCTTTCAAAATTCCCTCTATATTTGTCCCAAAACGTTTCCATGGCAGTACATCAACATGGAAAACCATAAATTATGAACTGCTGAAATATGCACTTACCCTACAGGTTACACAACACCAAATGTTTTCCCATAGACTTCTATAGTAACCTTATATTTTTTTAAAAATAATCCAGGCTATCAACAGCCATTCCATGTACACATGGGTACACTCTGGCCTTTAAACTACAATAAAAACACACGATCTGGCCAACTTGTCCGGATTGTTTTGTGAGCACAGGAAGCGGAACACATCAACCCCAGTTCCGCACCAAATGTCACCTACTGGAAAATATCTGTACACACAATAAGCATAAGTCATGGTGATGAAAATGACAGCACTGAATACTTAAAATTGTGGTCAGTTTTAATTACTGGTTGGATATGCTTTTAAAAAACAAACATCTTACACTATTTCATCCAATCACAGCTGTCACATGTCTCTATCTCTTCATTTGTTTACATACGCTTCTCGCTCGGTGAGCAAGCGATTCTCATTTAGTGTAGTATAACCTTAAGGAATAAATAGACAGGTCTGTCTGTCTGTCTGTCTGTCTGTTGGTCTTTCTATCAGTGAGCAATATTCCAGAAATATGACAGCACCACCCTTTTGTATTACTGGAGTAAACCCTCTGCTGAAACAGACCAATCTGCAGTGCACGGTTGATGCAGCCCAACTTTTTTTATGACTGGGGCACGGGGACACCAGGTGTTCCTGGACACCCTGCAAAACTGATGGAGGAACAACTGGGACACAAGGTGTTCCTGGACACCCTGCAAAACTGATGGAGGAACAACCGGGACACCAGGTGTTCCTGGACACCCTGCAAAACTGATGGAGGAACAAGCACTATAGATGTAACATTCTTGCTATCAAGTTGGAAGAAGAAACAAGTACCCCAAGTTTCGGGAGTAAAATGCTATTTACGCACGTTTATGCAAATCTGAGAACGCTAATACATGAATGGAACAACTGTTGCTCATTTGTTTCTGCACATTGTACATACACATGGAAAAAAGTATTGCAACACCCCAGTTTTGTCAACAATATCAATATGTACCATTTACCAGAGCAAATGAACTTATCCAAAACTCAAGTTAGCTTACTTTCTGGATGCATTGACCGTGGAATACAGAAAAAATGAATAATTAAATCCAAAGTAAAGAAAAAAACAAACATAGTTTATTTAGAGCAGAAAACATGGTAAAGTAATGGATTAATTTTGTACTTCTGATAACTACGGTTGTATGATGTTAACAAGTGTGGTTGTTTTAAGATTCTGGCACACAATCTTCAAGAGATGACATAATATATCAATAACCAAGCACAATGTCAATAACTGGTACATCCTCCACCAACTGCAACAACATCCCTGACCCTCCCCTACTCTGACTATATCAGATGATGAGAGAAAGGGTCTTAGGGCTAATGATACGGTTGGATAACTATGTGTAGCCGGGTGTGGTAGGTAATGTCCAGCCACTGGGCTGCAAGTCATAATATTGGCAGTTATTTGATGAAGGATGAATTTTATTGTAGTGACCAAAGATGGTAGGAAGGCTGAAAAAGAGAGAACCTCCCTCCTATAAGAGTCCATGCTGAATGCATGATCAGGGCAGGTGAGAAAGGAAGTTTACAGAAGAGCATCAAAAGACAGGTAGCATCTGACAGGTGTCAAAGGAACTCAGATGCTGGGCAGTTATATGAGGTGGTGGAACTATCTAAAACTAGAGAAGGAAAGTCCAGGTGAAGTTTACTTAACATACGCCTCACTCTCACATTCCAGGAATCGAAACCTGTGAAAATGTACCACTCACGAAAACAGGTGACAGGGCGAAACTAATGTCACCGGCAACGATCGACAGGTCGGGTTCCAAAATACACAAACAGCCAAGAGATAGACAGAGACAACGGGGGTGCATGCAAGACAATGTCCAAGTTTACATATACAGCAGGAACTGTCGTTACCACTAAGAACAAAATACGCCTTCTCTCGTGAGCTCACCTCTCGCCAAGACAACAGTGCCATATCAGCTGATCGTTCAACTCTTGCAGGAGCCGTTGTTAAGCATTCTTACCAATCTAAATCGTTAGACAATAATGGTACATTACCTTATGCACAAACTGCATCAGTTTCTCTTGCCTGACACTCGGTAGTACTGCATATGACTGATCGTTATTGGGCAAGAAATCTCCAAAACCTTCTGCGTGGTGGCCATTTTGATTCGCAGACTGCATCTTCCGCTTGGTGTCGCTGCATTCGATCGTCCAAAGCTGGGTCCCGTCTCTCAATATTGCAACATTCGACAATACAGCGCACTGTGGGAGCGGAGAACCAAGCAAAGTTCCAGTCCGTCCCAGGAATAAATGGGAACCAGTCTAAGAGATTCTAAGATTTCTGCAGCTTTTGACCCAAAAATGCCCTCTACTAAAATTGTGAATAATTATACTTAAAAACTATAAAAGACTGGTCAAACCAGACGATGTTTACGTTCAGTATGGAACTCTGTATGTGGTTCAGCATGGGGTTCTGTACCTGGTTCAGCATGGGGTTCTGTTTGTGGTTCAGCATTCGGACAGGACAGACAGAATTGACAGACAAGGTATTACATACTACGTGGATATTACACATATTTTCGCTGAATAGTAATGATCATCAAAATCGTTATGCATTCCCCTGAAATCAAAGATTTATCATCAAGTAGGGCAACATATTGTGTCATATTACACAAGACAGGAACCTGTACCTCACCTCACTGCATATGCAACTATTCAATACAAAGATATCTTCCACTTAGTTCCTTTTAACACTTCTCCTTTGAATTTGTGGTTGACATACTGAGTGCAAAGACATTAATGCATGTTTTGGAGAATGTCATCCATTTCCGGCTAATTTTCCACTATTTTCTTTCTATTTATAAAATCACATTGAACACCCTTGACCTTAAATTTTGTTCCCATCGATCAGCAATGATAAGGACACATTTGTGGATTTAAAGATTTCATTTTTCCACCAAAAGTGAATATTTTATGTACGGTTGTTAACTTTTTTCTGTTTTTTGTTTCTCGAGGTCCTGATGACGGTGCCATTTTCATTTGTAGGATTTTCTGCCATAAGAATATATGGACAGTAAAATCAATAAAAATATAGTGTTCTAAGTTAAGGTTCATATGAGATAATGACATTTTTCATATAATGATATCACATGTTTTAGAAAAACCCTTGAGCATAGCTAACAACAAAGTGCCATACATATCAGCTTTGATACGTTCAACTCTTGCAGGAACCGTTGTTAAGCATTCTTACCAATCTAAATCGTTAGACAATAATGGTATTACCTTATGCACAAACTCATGCAGTTTCCTCTCTTGCCTGACA